AGGCTCCGCAAGCCAATGTTCTGCCAAAGCTTGAAAACAGTACACAGGCCAATGCGCGTTCAGGAGCAACATGCATTCTCATGCATTCAATGCAGCAAGCCTATCTTTGAAGTAAACCCAGAAAGGCTCCAGAAAATATCCATGCAAGAACCTCATCGCGGCGAACACCCAACCACTTGTTGTGGTAAATGGGAGGCGGCATCACTGAAGCTGTCCTGACCCGCCCTCGACGCATATATCCCCGCCGGTTACTCCGCTTCCAGGGGACGGAGAAGGAGATGAGAACCAGCAGGGTGAAGGGCAGTTCCAAGCCTCCAGATCCGCAGGCCAACGCAGGCCAACGAGCTACGGTTTGTGCAGCCTTTGGGATAGTCAAGGGCATTGGCTTGACTTCGGGCTTATACTCAACTATGTATTTTAAACGAATCGGTAGCTGGAGCCATTAGAGCTGGGCTCGAAAGCATTGCACACACTCCCATAGAAAAGCGGCTGTGCCACAATGATACACTTCATCATATATCTTGCAAACAACCAAGGCAACAGTGAGTTTCCCATCTTGCGGCTCAATGCGTGAACGACTGCAGGTTGTAATTGGCGCAAACACGGTGAAAGTCGCAAAACCAACGAGTTGCTGCTAGGCTGGCCCCCATGAGGGTTGCATAGGCAAAGTGCAACAACGCGCGTCGAGCATCCAAATGTCAGCGGCTGCAATAGGAAAGTTCAAAGCCCGGATTTCAGGCGCGAATGGTTCATCATTTGGTGAGCAATTGGCTGCAATTGTTTTCGCACCATGTCGTGCTAACACTGGCCGCAGGCTTGCTTGTCAGAGGCGGCCTTCCTACTCGAGACTATAGCGAATGCTTGGAATCAAACATGCCTAGTCCGTTGGTGATCTCTTACACGTTGGCCCACGCGCTGCAAAGTCCATCGAGGTTGGGAACGTACCTGAATTCACTAGCACTTGTGGCTCGCAAGGCCACATCACTCACCGACCAAACATGCTATCAATCCGATTTGGCACTCCTTTGAGAACGTGACATTCACTCTGCAGATCAAAAAGCGCACTTGGGTCCTCCTGCATGTTGCGACATTGTCTAGTAGATTGGTCCAACGTATGCCGCGAGTTGGCAGTATCATCTAGCAAAAGTAGCAAGACTCTTTGCTGTTGCTTCGGCCCTGGCATGCGTTCTCGTTGTCCAGCTCGTTCTTCACATAGGACAGGTAGATGCCAAGCTGCACGCCATCCTGGGACACTGATGGATTTGGATCTTTTGGTGACTGACCCTTGGCGCGGACACAGACACTGAGGATCCAAGTTGGGAGCTGGGCCATCAGAGAAAGTGGCCAGCTTGAGTCAAGGAGTCAAGGAAGGCGTATGCAAAGGCTATCTTTACGCATAGCTGAAGGACCACTCCCTGATTGAGTTTCGCAAATGACGTAACCACCTGACGCAACTAGACAACCGCCAGCAAAGGAACTGTCATCACGGGCGAGGACCTTCCCCCTAGCGGCCCTAGCGAGGATCCTGGATGCATATCCGTTCATCAAGCAAACGACGCGACCACCTTCAAAGGAAACAAGGCAGCGAGGAAGGCTTGCCGAGAGCTTTTCGTGGTGACCGGCCTCAGCACGGCAACAAAACCAAAGCCGGCGGACAAAATAAGCATTCTCAAAGCCACCCCTCCTCTTGCAAAATTGGGTGGGTTGCAGGGAAAATGAAACTGCCCCCGCTTCTGCCTTTAAGCAACCCAAAGAAAATCGGAGGCTGCGCGTTCGCACGCTCTTGACTGGACACGGGCCTTGTTGCTCGGCTTCTCTGGCTCGTCCTTGGTGAAATGTTCACGGCGGATTCATCGGACGAAGACCCCAAATCACTCAAGAGCCATCCCTGCAACACAAATAGCAAATAGGAGGCCATGTGTGTAAATGAAGGGAGGGTAGTGGTGCTGAACTCCACCTATGGGTGGCTTGCCATTTAGCTTCCTGTAGACAAAACTAAACAGGTACCCGGAAAACACACACAGCAAGACAGACACAGACACAGACGCAGGCAAACACACAGACAGAGACGGAGACGCACGCACAGACATGGACACAGACACAGACACAGACATGGACACAGACACAGACACACACACAATCACAAAAACAAACAAACAAACAAACAAACAAACAAACAAACACAAACAAACAAACAAGCAAGCAAACAAACAAACAAACAAACAAACAAACACACACACACACACCACACACACACACCTGCACACAAACAAACAAAGAAACAAACAAACAAACAAACAAAGAAGCAGAGAAACAATTAAAATAAACAAACAAACAAACAAACAAACAAACAAACAAACAACCACACAAACAAACAAACAAACAAACAAACAAACAAACAAACAAACAAACAAACACACACACACACACACCCCACACAGACACACACCTGCACACAAACAAACAAACAAACAAACAAACAAACAAACAAACAAACAAACAAACAAACAAGCAGAGAAACAATCAAACAAACAAACAAACAAACACAAACACACAGAAATACACAAACACACACACATACACAAACACACCCGCCCACCCACACCCACCCACACACACACACACACGCGCGCGCACGCGCCCACACGCACACAAAGTCACAAAGACACACACACACAGACACACACACACACAAACTCACACACAAACACACACACACACACAAACACACACACACACAAACACACACACACACACAAACACACACACACACAAACACAAACACAAACACAGGCGCGCACACACACACACAGGCACACACACACAGGCACAGACAGACAAACAGACAGACAAACAGGCAGACAGACAGACAGACAGACGGACGGACAATGACAGATAGACAGGGACAGACAGACAACAACAGACAGACGATAAGAGACAGACAGACAGACAATGGCTGACAGAGCATGACAGACAGGCAATGACAGACAGACATTGGCTGACCGAGCATGACAGACAGGCAATGACAGACAGACAATGACAGACAGACAGTAACAAACAAACGGTGGCAGACAGACAATGAAAGACAGATAGCAGCAGACAGACAGTGGCAGACAGACAGTGGCAGATAGACCCAGACAGGCAGACAGGCAGACAGACCGACGGACAGAGACAGACAGAAACAAACAGAAACCAGCACGCGCACAAACACAAACACACGCACACACAAAACAAACCGCACGCACTCACACGCACCCACACGCACACACACACACAATCACTCGCACACACACACACACACTGACAGATACACACACGCACAAACAAACAAAAACACAAACACAAATATACACTCTCGCACTCACGCACGCACGCATGCACGCGCACAGGCACAGGCACAGGCACAGGCACAGGCACAGGCACACGCACAGGCACACGCACGCACGCACGCACGCACGCACGCACGCACAAACAAACAAACAAACAAACAAACAAACACACAAACAAACAGAACACACACACACACACACGCACGCACGACGCGCACACACACACACACACATGTCGAACGACGAGAAAAAGGTTTGCTCCGAGCCAAGCCGCCACCAGGAAAGGCTTTTTGCCTTGCACCATCACGCCATGCCGGCAAGGAGAGGGAAGCCGCTGCGTGACACCGTGGCAAGCAACGAAGACGCGGACCGACCCGAGGTAAGCTTCACGCCTTGTTGCTGTTTTGTTTCATAAAGGGGGAACTCGCAGCTTCGTCCGTCACTAACGCACCCCGATCCAGAAGCTTCTGGCCAAAAGTCCAATGCCAAAAAGATGCTCGTAACAAGCCCAACAAGTTGCCTGAACTGCATGCCTTTCACTTCTTGAACGCATCATGCTAAACGAACCTTGCGGGGCGAGTCTTTCGCCCACGGCTCCTTGGCGCAAGCTCGTCTTTGGAGGCGCCCTTCTGCGAGCCCGAAGCAATCGCCGGCTTTCACTTGTCACTAACGCCAACGATCGCGCTTCCTCAGCTGCTCGACCACGCGAGTCTAGCCATCATATTGCCAATATTGCTTATGCCCCGGAGGTGAACTGCTTCCCACGTCTCAACAAGAAATGAACAATTCCTTCTAAGGCTTAGAAGCTGAGATGCTCAAGGGTTGCGGCAAGTAGCGACATCAAACCACCAAGAGTCAACTGAAACACTTCTGTTGAAAGCGGGGCCATCTCAGCTCAGCGCTACTCCCTGGTGCTTGTGCGCTCGCAACAGGCAAACGTCGCCCAGTCTGAGACCCCGCTCCGCCTCTGCGTGCTGCATGCGTTTCCCGAGTTTTGTTTGGCTCCCGATCCCATCGAAGGTCCACCCTTCCAGCTTGGAGGGCGTCCGCGGATTGGGAATACCTCCAATGAATTCAAATTACGTGCTCCTCCTGGGGTACAAACACCAGGTTCAGGTGATCCAGACTCAGAGGGCAGCTATCTGGGTTCCGATTAGTCAAGACCTCCAGGGTTCTAAACGGACGCAAAAAAAACATGCGATGCTGCCATGAGCAGGACAAAACATTTTGATTTGGCGAGCCCAGCACCAAACAGGTGTTTGCAAAAAAACATCGCAATCATGATTGGAGCTCCTCGTTGCCTGCTTGCCTGAAGTGGGCACGTCTCTCATTACAAATCAAGGGTGATACTTCTGCTCCTGCGAAGTTGAGCGGTTTGCAGGGTAATCGCAGTCCCTACAGGGAATTCAAGACAGCCAACAAGCTCCTGCAACATAGATTGAATACGGCACTAGCTTCGGGTCAGGGTTGCGTTAGTGCCTTTCCGGCTCTGGCTCAAACAATTACAATCGTGAATTCAGGACGGAAATAGGTAGGTTGGTGACTCAACATTGCGTGGATGAATGTGCCAAGGATGCCGCGGTGCCAAATCTGACCCATCTGGTGCTTGGAAACCTCATGTTTAGCTGCCGGTGCTCGTCCCAAGCCCAGTTCGTAGCTCCCATTTCCAGCCTTTGTAGGGTCGATCTTGCCGCAAAGCACGTCATGTTCCTTCCGCCTGGAATTCATTGGCAAGGACGCGCTGCGCGCACCTGTCTGACCCTCCAACAAGTAAAAGAGGGCCCAAAGTGTGACTGCAAAGGGCCAACACTGTGGGGAAGGGGACGAGGGATGCTTGTATCTGGGCAGGAGCACCATCCAACTGTCTTAAATGAAGGCACGGCCTCAATGACAATGAATGATAAGCGTACACCATTTGCGCGTGGCCAAAGCCAAAGCTTTTGCCCATGTCGATTTCTCGCTGCAACCATTGGTGTCCCGAACATGATGGCAAGCTAGCCAGCTGTGGAGTATAAGATGCAGGACCCCTTATATATTGGGGGTAGCCTCCCTTATGTACATTACGCAGGGGAGTCATGGCTCCGATGCATGAGCCTTGAAACAAACATCGGCACATGTCCATCCTTGATGGCTTCAAGCCAGCACCCATTTCTGTCTTGAGTTCACTGCCGTGTGGGAAGAATGACAAAAAAAACTCCTGTCACGGCACCCCATCCAAGAACGCGCTTTGCTTTGACGGGTCTCGCGCGGTCCCGTGTGGCAATCTCGACTGCTTCCACTTCCCGTGTGGCAATCTCGACTGCTTCCACTTCCACATCAGCCGAAGCTGCCCTCCTACCACAATAAGCCCTGGAATCACTTTTCGAATGTAAGGGAGGGCGAGCAACGTGAAACAGCACCAGAAGGTCGTGCTGGCACAAGGGGGCACTGGCCCAGAGAAATAGGATATTAAGAAGAGGAGGAAGAGAAAGAAGAACAAACAGGAAAACACGAACGCGCACACACACACACACATTGCAGCAGACACATGACCACAAAAACTCAAACCAAAGCACAAACACCCACAAGCGCATGCACACGCGTCACGCACGCACGCGCGTGCCCAGCATGCAAGCGAGCTGCATCCATCCCCCCCCCCCCCGCCGCCCCCTCTGGGCACCCCAAAGCACATCCGCGGCAGCAGGTGTCGAAGGGCTTGCCGTGACGGGTCACCCCAGGCCTCGGGTCATCAGCTAGCGAATGGCTCAGCATTTCGAACGAACCGCACTTGCTGATTCTCATCAGGGAATGACCGTCCCCTATGGTTTCTCTTCAGGGAATCCCGAGGTTCATTCCAAAACCCTGGGTCATTCCCTACTGAGCACCAGCAAGCTTAGCTTTGATATGCACTCATGTTTCTGGTGGACCGAATGGAAAACACTTGTTGCCGAACAACTCCGCTGGAAGAAGCTTTGGCTCGGTGAAGGAATGAAATATTTGTGTCGCAGTCATTTGCGGTGGAGGTGATTGGGGTGGCCCCTCAAATTTGTTCACTTGCCAATGCGAACCTCAGAGGCTTCCTCCAGAGGGTGAAGGAATGGCGCTGCCTCTTCTTGGTTTTCACAAGAAGGCTGAGCAAAAACTAGCAAACGACCTTCAACTCCTGAAGGTCTAGGCTTTGACCAACTCCACTCTCAGCTTGCCGCGCCACTTGTCGCTTGCAGCCAATGCGGCCTCATTCTTTTCGGGGCCAGGCTTCAGACAGCTACTTGACCTATGATCAACAAAAAGCCGAGGTTGTTTCAGGCCTTTCAGGACTGGCGAAGGAAACACAGGACAAATCCAATGTCGGTAAGGGAGGCAAAGAGCGGACACGGCCAACAACTCCGGTGCTCAAGAAGTTTACCCAACACCGAGCAAGCCACGAATCAACAGGCCGGCACCTTTTCAACGTTAGGGCGGTCCCCTGGCCTTCCACTGTCAAGGTGTTGCTTCCCTGGACAAAATAGTCTGCCTGGTTTCTCACGGTTTTTACAGGGACTAGGGTTGCCCCCCCCGAGTCAACAGTGACTCATCTAAAAATGCACCTGGCTGAATCAGATACTTTGCATGACCTAGTGATTTCCAGCCTTCCGCGAGCAAATGTGTTTTGGGGCTGGAGAAGTCATCCCACTCTCATTCCAGGCTCAGGGCAGACTGCGAATATCTGCTATGTTCTAACTAACTTCCAACTCTGGAACTGAGGCTTTCCAAAAAGAGCCTTCAACATGGGTAAGCTCCAGGTCCAGCCGGCGCAGGCCGACGCTAGCCGACGCTCGGGTCTCTCAGCACCGGGCAAAGGGGCACTCGACCTTCATGGCCTTGTCCGGGTGGGTTAGGGGCAATTGGGAACTCTGATGTCCCTCTTTTCCCTTCCAAGCGGGTCGCAAAGGCCCAACAAAGTGAAGCCCTTCTTGAACAATCCTCCATGTCCTGGCAATTCAAATCGGTAACTTCCATCGTGAAGATTCCTTTTCAATAACGTAAGCAGGAGAGCCCTTCATGGGGTCGAGCAGATTCCCCATTAACAGAAACACTGCCACTCAACCACCGCTTTCTTTTGCGCAGGGCCTAGGAGCTGGGAGTTACAATAGCAAGTCTGCACACTTGACAGATATGATGCCCCTGAGCAAAAATGCCCGCAGTCCCTTGTCCCAAGGGGAGCGAATCATTTGCCCAGAATCTTTGCAGGGCACGATGAGACCAAGCATTGCCCTGGATCTCGTTTTGCTCTGAGCCGACGCTCGAAGAGCAAGCAGGATAGGGCAAGGCAGCCTGACTGCTGGCAACTTGACCCCGACTTTCCGATAAATGCATACAATGTTGTCATGTTTAATTGCGGCAATTACTGACATCACCTCAGGATGCACCCCGCCAAATTTCCACCAACACAAAGGTATCAAGATGCGTTATGCTTCCCTCATTAAGTCTCACCCCACAAACGCCCTCAGGTACATCGGCTGTCTTTAACAGAAGGCTATTCTTAGTCGAAGGCACTTGGGCATGTCCTGTGAACGACCGCCGAAACTGGCTGGGCTCCTGTTGATCACCCACTTCGCTGCAACCAGGGCAAGACACAAATGAGCAGACTGACGTTGAACCGCGGCTTTGTCTGTACTGATCAGCTTGTAGATCAAACATGCCGCCACATGCTTCAGGGTAGAAACGGGCAGCCCTATGCTACAGCCGGATGCTCGAAGATCACACAAAGGATAGTTCTGACTTGTGAAAGCCCTTTGCCCTCACATCATGAGCCACCCGCTATGAGGGAACATTGTGGGGACCTCCTTTGTCATTTGAGCATGTGGTAGGACATGTGCCCACCGGCCAAAAGCCACGCACGTGTTTGCGGACGGCGAAAAAACCCTATGCCACAAGCCAGGACATGCAGAAACCGTTCCAAAACAGCGGTATATAGCTTCCAAGCAAAACTCTGTCACCTGCAGGAAACTGCCAATTGTTGAACTTTCCCGCCCAACTGCGAACATCTGCCAGCTGAGTGTCAGAGAGGCCGGGCAGGCATCGCGCCTGGGAGGCAGCTTTTTTGTGCAACCCAGGCGCGGGACATTTGACTCATTTGACACGTTGCGTGGGCCAAGGTTCCATGATGCACCCAAGGAGCACAATCGACAGCCTGGTGCAATTACCTCCCCCAGTCTCGCGCTGGCTTCGAGGCGTTTCCATATGGGGGAAGGCTGGCAAGGGTGCTGACTTGGCTATGCCAAAATATGCCAGAAGGAGCTGTTGGTGGAAACATCCCGCTTGCACCGCCTAGGAAAATCTTTGCTGTTGGATGTTCCTTTGGGGTGGTATAGCGACCCGCTTCCAACTGCACACTCCGGGGGAAATGCGCATCTTTAGTCAGCGCAGAGACTTTCAGAACGATCACCGCTAACTTGCCGTTTCTCAGGGAGAGTCACTATAGGTCACTCAGTGAGGGAAGGGTGCCAAGTGACTGATCAAAACTTTCTCTGAACAACCAGTCAGACACGCAGGTCAAGCACCAGGCCCGGTCCAGCCTCCAAGACCTTTGCCTTTGCCCTTTGCGTGGCCTGTGATTACCTGCAAACAAAGCGAAGAATGGGCAAGAACTAGCCGTTCCATGTCACAAACAAGCAAACAGCAGCTCTTCAAGCCTTCGAATGCTTCTTTCCATCCTCATCTTCTTCCGAAGCCTTTCTCACTGCCTCCTCTTCTGCAGCTTTTCTGGCTGCCTCCTCCGCTACAGCTTTTCTGGCTGCCTCCTCCTCTGCAGCTTTTCTGGCTGCCTCCTCCGCTGCAGCTTTTCTGGCTGCCTCCTCCTCTGCAGCTTTTCTGGCTGTCTCCTCCTCTGCAGCTTTTCTGGCTGCCTCCTCTGCAGCTTTTCTGGCTGCCTCCTCCTCTGCAGCTTTTCTGGCTGCCTCCTCCTCTGCAGCTTTTCTGGCCGCCTCCTCCTCTGCAGCTTTTCTCGTTGCCTCCTCCTCTGCAGCTCTTCTTGCAGCCTCTTCCTCTGCAACTTTTCTTGCTGCCTCCTCTTCTGCAGCTTTTCTTGCTGCCTCCTCCTCTGCAGCTTTTCTGGCTGCCTCCTCCTCTGCAGCTTTTCTGGCCGCCTCCTCCTCTGCAGCTTTTCTTGCTGCCTCCTCTTCTGCAGCTTTTCTTGCCTCCTCCTCCTCTGCAGCTTTTCTTGCTGCCTCCTCCTCCTCTGCAGCTTTTCTCGCTGCCTCCTCCTCCTCTGCAGCTTTTCTCGCTGCCTCCTTCTCCTCTGCAGCTTTTCTCGCTGCCTCCTCCTGCACAGCTTTTCTTGCAGCCTCCTCTTCGGCCGCAGCTTTTCTTGCTGCCTCCTCCGATCCCCCCAAGGCTGAAGCCGCTGCAGTTGCTGCCGCTGCTGCGGCTGCTCCGACAACGGCGCTTGCTGCACCTAAGCGTGCAGTGCATTTTGTCACACAAAAGGAGTTCATCACACCATTGCTGCACATGCCATGCATGTAATCATGGCACCACTGCTTCAATGGCTTCAACATGTGCCTGAGGTTTTTGTTTTCTAGTAGCTCAGATATGTGCTGTTGTTCTCCGGCCCCAGGCGACAAAAGCAGGGTGGGTCGTTCTAAGCGGATTGCCGCGCATCCGGGCCAAACATGGCGGCACCTTTTGTCAAAGCCCTTATGACTACGCGGGAATCACATTGTCGAGAACCACACCTGCTCAAGAGCATCCACGCAGGAACGCCAAGTGGTTAGAAGCGTGCTAGCCAAGTGCCACCCCTTTCAGTTGATTCACAGGCGTTTATGTTCATTTTCGTTGGGATTCTTCACTTTCTTAGGCGCCGTTCCATGAATCTGCCAGCTTTCTCGAAATCTGGGATTTACTCCGCAACCCAGTGATACCAACCTCGCTCTGCACAGCGCACCTCCAGCTGCCTCCTGCGCCAGGGCCTGCAAACTCGCAAGCGCAACGCCCGCAAACTCGTTGCACTCGCTCGGGGAAGGGGGCAAACCAAAAAGAGACGCCGGACCTCAGCAGGGGAGCCAACCGAACAAAAAAAAGGGAATCCCGACCGACCGAAAAGGGAAAGCCACCCCAACAAAAATGGAAACAAAAGGGAAGCGGACCGGAAAACGGGCAAGGCAGCCCTTCTCAGAACAAACAAAGAACACAAAAAGGGACGAGCAAACCGAGTCCTGTTTGAGGCATCAACCCGCTCACTCCGCCTGGCGCTCGGCCTCCTGCGCCTTGCGCAATGCCGCGCCTGGAGCACTTCCCTAGGGAAAGATCGGATGAGCCTTCATGCTATAACGGCTTTTTCAGACAAGACACAAAATTCGCGAATGACTTGGTGCCTAGACCGTTCCCCTGAATCTCATGTTTCCTTGGGTGGCTGACTCCTAATCACAATCCGCAATCCGCTTAACCCGCGTTTTAGCTGGTAAACCCCCTAATCCGTAATCCGCTCAGTACCAGGCATCCACGACTCCATACTGGAAAAGTGACCCCACTGGGCTCTTTCAAATGCCCTACCCTAAGCATCCAAATTGCTTTGGGGGTGTCACCGGACTCCGGGGTGTCGGGGATGGCTCGCTGGAGCCCCACAAGCACCCGGGGCGTCGTCCTGAAGACCCCAAGCCCCAACTGGGAGGAGACGCGACATACATTTACTTGTGCAATTAAAACCACTTAACTACTAGACAGTCAAGCTGATAGTTAGCCTAACTCATTTGCCTTGAAAACCGATACAGAGTCTAAGTGGCCGTAAGTTGGCAATCATCATGCTGGACTAGTTATTGCTGAAACAAAGCCTGGCTTTTGTGTCAGTTACTGCGGTTCCTAGCCTGAAAAACGAACCAGACACAAACGTGTGTGTTCACAGTTCAAATACACTTCAAAAAACATGACACTTGCAGTTTTGACTCTTTTGAACCTTGCAATGCCAGCAGCGAGCATTAGCTGCCACAACGAACACCCCGGTACACTGCGTGCACTGCAGGGGCCGTTTTGTCAAACTGGGCCGTGCCAGAAGTCCTTGCAAAAGATCTGGGCGACGTTCTTGCTGTGCGCCAAGCTCTGGTGACTTTTGTTTGGCCGCTGGAAGGTCTCCCCTATTTCAACATAGTTTCCTTTACAGCTGGGATCAACGGCCGGCAGCTACTTCCACAGGTTTAAGATTTGCAGCACCATTTAACAACTTCAAACATGCACAACCAGTCCTTGTGGCTTGACATAGATGGGTTAAACTCTTGAAATTCCCTGTCAAACAGTTCACGTTTTGACTTTGGGTTTGTAAGGATTTGTCCATGGCTTGGAACTACGATAATTTCGAAAACAACCGACCATGAATAATTTGCCGTTGTGGCTTGACCCAACTCCATATTTTGGTTTTGATGGGCTTAGATAGTCCCAATGGTTTGCAAACGTTGGCAACCCACACAGTTTAACCAAAACAACAACTTAGCCACTTGTGGCTTGACAGAGTGGGGTTCACTTTTGCAATCCAACTCCGGAAGTGTCAAACACATGCTTTTGTTGGCTGTCTGTGTTTTGGCGTTGTTGGGCTTCACAAGCTGGAAGCCCATAACAAAAGTCGACCGTGAACAATGTGTCGTTGTAGCTTGACAGATTTGGGGGCTAAACTCTTCAACTTATTTGCCTTGAGCGTGTCAACGCATGGTGTTGGATCACTGGTCTTGTTTGCTTCATGTTGGGGTTCTAATTCAGGTTCTTGGTATGATATTATATCAGTCTGTATCAATTGCTATAAGTCAAAGTCACATGTGGTATTTACTGAAAACTGATGCAATAAATCCGTAGATCCGTTGCCATCGGTTCATCAGCTGTCATCAGTAAATGTGTGTATGTAAGGCAAACTGACCAGTGACAACTGGTTCATTGTACCAGCCATCATCAGACTAGCTCAAACTCAACTAATGCGTACTCGTATAAACTGAAACAAATGCGACGGCCGAGTTTCATAAACGAGCTCAAATCACAGTGACAACTAATCCCGACTGGTTGAGGGGCGCCTGTTGTTAGATAATTACGCGTGCAATAAGTTTCATACATATGTGGATTGCCACTCCGCTGAGAGTGTGTACAACTAAATCACATTGCGCAGCGAAAGAGAGCAGCGATTCAACGATTTGGCCCTGTCATGTTCGGAAATGGTCATTCCAAGGGCTTAGCCCAAATCAGTGAAGCCACAACAGCAAGGTGTTGATGTTTGGTTGTTTTCACGGGTTTCTAGACTTACCCCGCTATGGAATGTTCCTTTTGAACCCATCAACAACAACACATTGACAGTAAACAACAAACAACATGATTTTTAGCCCAACTCTGGCAAACCACATCGTCCATTGGTATGTTTGGTTGTGCGCATGGCTACCCAGATTCTCAAAACCATACAGTTCACCTGTAAAACCCATCCAAACCAAATTAGTAGTGAACTGTGATCAAGCACATGGTTTGGCACTTTCGGAGTCAGAAATTTCAAGAGTTCAGTTCAACCCTGTTAACCCACAAAGGCTAGTTGCTCGTGTTTCGTGTCGCGAAGTGGTGTTTTAAGTCTTCCAAACTGTGGCAATAGCTGCCGGCTGTTGATCCCAATTGTACAGGACGCTATGCTTGGACAAACGAAACCTGTCAACGGGCAACACATGTCACCAGAGCTTGGCACAAAGCAAGACGTGTCGCACAGTGCTTCTTCGAGGATCTTGGCATTTGCCTTGGCTACCTTTTGGCAGGGCCTAGTTTGACGAAACGGCTTCGGCAGAGCGCGTTGTTCGGAGGTAGTCTGTAAATTCAGCATGCAAGCAGGTGGACCAAGCAGCTTGAACAAGCGTGCTCAAAAGCAAACACAACCCGCAAAACCAGCCACCGTAACCATTGCATAGCATTTCGCAGTTGCTGCTTAAACTCGTCAGTTCTGGTTTGCTAAACGCGTGATTTTGCAGAACCAAAACCGCGGAGCAGTCACATGCAGCACGTGTAAGCAGGCGCATGCTGTTTTGCGAGCTATTCAAAGTTATTGCAAGTTCCAGATAGGCTTCGCCGGCAAACTATCAATACAACATGGTTGGATTTAATAAGTCCAACCCAGGCAGGGTGAACTTACCGGATGTGTGCATAATAAACCTATCATAATATAATGTCATAGGCGCCTTACAAGCAGAGCTTAGGAGAGCTTTGTAAGTCCCCTAAGTTCAGCGTCTCCTCTTAAAAGTGGAAAGTTGCAAGCGCAAGCTCCAAAGTTCAACCTTTTGAACGTGCCATGTGGCACCACCTACCGCATGGAAACCGCAAAGCCTCAAGCGTATTTGATTTTGTCGGACTACTTGCAAAGACTGGCTACCACGGAGGTATTAGGACAAGCACCGCCCGACCCAGTTTGCTTGCAGCGGGTGTCCCGTTCAATGTTTCTACAGTTGTACAGCATCAAAAGCCAGATAACAGCTTGAATGAAGCACTGGTGGGGCGCTCACAGCGAGTAATTATTTATATGGCACAGTTTGAAGCCAGTGGGTTTAACTGCAGGCTAGGCTTTTGCAATTTATAAGCCAGTTTGCGCAGCGTTGAAACATGCAGCTCCGTACCAACAACAGCACCGACATGCACATTGGCACTGCGAGCTCGCCAGCCTTGTAGTAGCTGGTGGCACTGCACCCCCCCACACACACAACTCTGCCTATGGCTGCTCAAACTAAAGGGGGCTTACACACCTCTTTTTGCTGCTTTCTTCGATGTGCACAAGACTGTGTTGGTCGCCCGGGCGAATAGTCACCAAGGATCGCTGCTTTAAACCTTTCGACCTGGCCGTTGGATATTTGACGACTCTTTTGCCGCGCCTCAAGACACAGCGTAATACTGCAACACCAGGCTGTTAGCTGTGGGCCGTAGGCCCTGTTGCCAATCACCGCACAAGCCGCGCTGCATACAGCAACATGTCCAGACAAGGATGGGTGCAAAGCGGCCTGCAGGGGCTCTCAGTTCGAGCACTTCCACAGAACACCTGACAGGAGAAAACAAAACTTCAGGCAATTTTAAGCACATCTTAGTTTTGAAAGGCCACGGAATGTTTACAAACTAGGCATCGCAAAGGACGCACGAAAGCAAGCGGCAGAACTCGTCCCAAGACACTACGCCGGACCATGGTTTTCAACCCTTTCCGCAGATTTTCCGAACGTTGCGAGGCCTGCACTGAAATGCTTTCCGATGCTTTCCGATGCTTTCCGATGGCCGGGGCGTCGCGGGGCGTCAAACCCTTGCAATTTTGACACCCCCTTTCCGACGTTTCCGACGCTTTCCGACGCTCCTAACGCTTTCCGACGCAAATGCTCGATGGCCCTCACAGCCCCACTAAGCAGAGACGCTGAACTTAGGGGACTTACAATCTCTCGAAAGCTCTGCTTATAAGACATCAACAACATTGTGTATTACGTATACATCCGCTAAGTTCACTCTGCTTGGGTTGGATTTATTAAGTCCAGCTATGTTGTATTAATACTTGCGCCGGCGAAGCCTATCTGGAACTTGCAATAACTTTGAACAACTCACAAACAAGCTGCACACATTTTTGCACGTGCTGCGCTGCAAGCGACTGGTCCGCGGTTTTGGTTCTGCAAAATGACGTCTTTGGCGAACCAGAACTGAGGAACTTGATCAGACATTGCCAAATGCTATGCAATGACTACGGTGACTGGTTTGTGTGTGTTGTGTTTGATCTTGCGCGCAGTTCGTAGAAGATTCGGGCGACGCATTCTTGATTGCTCCAAGCTCTGGCAACTTCTGTTTGCAAGCGTACTGTCCTTTACAGTTGGGATCAACAGCCGGCAACTAGTTCGACTGGTTGAAAGAATTGAAGCACCAATTCGCAACACAAAACACAAAGCAACTAGCCTTTGCGGGTTAACAGGGTTGGACTGAACTCTTGAAATTCCAAACTCCGAAAGTGCCAAACCATGTGCTTGAACACCGCTCATTATTTATTTGGTTTGGGTGGCTTTTACAGGTGAACTTTATGGTTTCGAGAATCTGGATACCCGAGCACACAGCCAAACATCAACAATGTGCCGATGTGGTTTGACAGAGTTGGTCTAAACTCTTGCACTCCCAATTCTGAAAGTGTCAAACATATCATGGTGTTTACTGTTAATGTGTTGTTGCTGATGGGTTTGAAAAGGGAAATCCGTGGTTGGGAAAATCTAGAAACCCGCGAAAATAGTCAAAGATCAACAATTTGCTGTTGTGGTTTGACTGAGTTGGGTAAAACACTTAACGCCATAGTTGTCGGGCCACTGCTCCTTTCGCAGCGCAATGGCATCCAATTGTACTTACTCTCAGCGAAGGGGCAATCCAAGCACGCGATTGCACGCGTATTTGACAGGTGTCCCCCAACCTGTTGTGATTAGTTTTCACTGTGCTTTGCACTGGCTCGGCCGTCACACCTGATCATTTTGAAAGTTGTGTCAATTTGCGTCCGGTTGCATCAGTTTGCATCACTATATATCAGCATGTATCAGCTGAACTTGAGCTGGCCATATTTTTTGCTGACACTATTGGTTTGTTGTAACTGTCTGTGTTCCTTACATACACATATACCGATGACAGCTGATGCATTCTCTATCATGATCTCAGCTGTCATCACTTGGTACCACGTGCGACTGATGACAACTGATATAGATTGACACAAACTGATACTAAGAAGGCAACCAACAGCATGTATCCCAAACAAATGATTCTGACACGTTTGGAAATGACCATTCCAGGAATTTAGCCCAACTTAGTCAAACCACAACAGCAAATTGTTGATCTTTGACTATTTTCGCGGGTTTCTAGATTTTCCCAACCACGGATTTCCCTTTTCAAACCCATCAGCAACAACACATTAACAGTAAACACCATGATATGTTTGACACTTTCAGAATTGGGAGTGCAAGAGTTTAGACCAACTCTGTCAAACCACATCGGCACATTGTTGATGTTTGGCTGTGTGCTCGGGTATCCAGATTCTCGAAACCATAAAGTTCACCTGTAAAAGCCATCCAAACCAAATAAAGAATGAGCGGTGTTCAAGCGCATGGTTTGGCACTTTCGGAGTCTGGAATTTCAAGAGTTCAGTCCAACGCGAAGCGGTGATTCAAATCTTTCAAATAGTGGAAATAGTTTCCGGCTGTTGATCCCAAACGTCAAGGACACTACCAAATTCGGACAAAGGGAACCTTTCAGTAGGCAAACGTTACTAGCACGAGCTCGGCTCGCGCATTTCATTCAGACTGCTGTAGCTGCTGCGAGAGTTTTGCAGCTTTTGCCTGGCAAGCTCCTCACAGAAAATTGTTGGCAAGACGGCTCCTGAAGTGAATGGGTTGCGTTGCTGCTGCTGAAGTTTTGCTGCGTGTTCTCGGAAAGGTCATCTTCGTCTCAGAAGAAAATAGAGCGGGATTGCTTGTTTCAATTTCTGAACGCACACACACGCACTCACACAACGACACCACTCTTGTTTTGTTTAGATCTGCTGTTGGGGCTCGGGGCAGCTCTAAAAGCATACGCGCAGCCAATATTGCCTAAAAAATAAATGTTGAACATACTTCAGCATATGTCTACAGCAAACAAAGTGCAACTTAGAGCATTCACATTGAATCGCATTGACTTGTAATTAAACCAAGTACAACTAGTATGCCAACGGGTAACTGTAAATGCAAAAAGCCCAACGATGTAGAATGTCTTCTCTCTGTATAGCCACCAAAGAGACACACATATAACATAGATATTGACTTTTGCCCTGTCCGTGCTCCACACTATGTGGTTGCCAACACTATTGACAAACGCATTTGGGCATGGCTACGTCACACCTTGAAAACGGTGCACTCCATCATGAGCATGGTATGCGCTGAAGTGGTGCAAGAGTAAGTGTCCTGTGGTTTTTGCTTTGTTTGCTGGATGCTCGAGTTTGCTCCTGTTCTATAGATGTTGGACCAGTGGGCTGGAGCTGGCTATGCTTCCTGTGTTCCATGAATATTCCCAACCAAGAAAACTGAAAGTAGACGGCCGTGGCAGGGACAAGGTCCAGCGACCTGGGGATCGTCATGAACATGAGCATTTAAGCCGGTGGGCAAGGTGAAGCAACGCGTAAACTCGGGACATTCAACTGTGTGTGTGTGTTTGCGCGGGTGTGCGCGCGTATCGGTCTTCGCAAACATAGGCAAGGTCTGGGGGTGCCTCAATGGAACAAATTCCTGTCGCAAAGGGCGCAGGGCGCATGCAAAGCATCAGAAAGTCTCGGAAAACAAACTGGAAAGCATATGTTGACAAGCATCGGAAAGCGTTGGACAGAAAGCGCCGGAGAGTGTCGGAAAACCTCGGAAAGCGACGTAAGGTGTTGGAAGGCGTGAAATTAGTGTCGGAAAGCTTTGGAAGGCATCCAAAAAAACGTCAACACGGATAGGCCGAACAAATGAATCGTGAAGAGAGGTAAGCACTGAATGACAAGGAGGGGCCAGAGCCCGAGGAGGGTTCAGAAAGGGAATGCTGATACTGTAGCCAGAAGCCCAGCAGCAAGGAAAGTCGGCAGGGCGATCGACGGCCAGGCTGGCAAATGTTGGGAGAGCGTAGAAAACCATCGAACATCATGCACAAGAATCGGAGATGGCCGGAAGGCATTATAACAGTGATGGAAGCCGTCCAAAAGCGTCGGTTAAAAACGGGCGCTGCCGATTGAGTTCAAGTTCACGAGCTGAGGTCCGGGGCTGTAAGTTGTTTTGTGCGACCTTGGGCGAACATGTGCGAACCATCCTTTGGGGTGTCGGGTCTTTGCCCCTTGAGCCTCAGGGCTGTCAGAGGGATGGGCTTTGAGCCCGGGATTTGCAATGCGCAGTCCGGTGTTCGCATTGCCTCGCGCATGCCCAAGATTCTTAGGGGTGTGTGTGGTTGAGCATGGCTGGTGTCTCTATGATATGCAGCGCGCTGTTTCGTTTCATGCCTTTTGCCACCTTTGGGGCCTCGGGGCGTCAGCGAAGTGTCCCTGACACCCCCGGGGTCTCACAGGCATAGTATTTAGGCCCGGGTTGTGCATTGCACAGCCCGGTGTGCTCAATGCACACACCCAAGATGCTTAGGGTAGTGTAATTTTCGTCATTTTCGGGCTGCCGAGCGTGTTGTTCTAAGGCACTTCTCAGCCATGTTGCACACCATCAGCGAGCGGATGGCTGGCATGCCGAAATCGCCCACATGCAGCGAAGCGAGCCACACGCTGCCAACTTTAATTCCCAAACGTTTCAGCTGCAGCTGGAGGCAGCCAGTGCTGTGCATTTACGCGCTGTGCTCAACCCTAGGGAGACATGGGAAGGCTCTCGATTAAGAGATACACCTTTATATATATATATATATGTATGTGTATATATATTTTCATATTCATTTTGCCGGACCCCATGTCTCCAAATACTACATTGGAATAGCAGCTCAAAACGAGAGCATTTCCCGCTGACCCTGCACTCCAGTCTTATTTGAGGAAATAGTAGTAGGACGGTTTTTTGGCAGGTCCCTAGCCATGCAGGAAAAATCTTCGACACCGAGAAGCCACAGGTCAAACGGAAGGGGTGGGGGTGAGAACACCGAGCCAGAAACGGTCACCTGAACCAAGCCGAACTGGCGCCTCCTCTGCCATCCCTCAGACCACTTGCCACGCCTAAGCCAAGGTCCTTGAGCACTTGTTCAACGGACTCGCAGGCATTCCGGCCTTAGGGTGGGTGACATGGCCCTCCAACCGTTTTTGACTGGCACATCACGACTTTGCACAAAAGATCAGCACACTGATCCAAGAAACCGCGTCCGACATGTCAAGTGGTTGCCTGCAGCGAGGGGCCACACCACACCGCACAACACCACACAGACACGCAGACACGCAAACACACAGACACTCAGAAACCCGAAGCACTCAAACACACAGACACACAGACACGCAGACACACACACACACACTCAGAAACGCAAGACACACAAACACACAGACACGCAGACGCGCAGACACACAAACACTCAGAAACGCAAGACACACACAAACACACAGACACGCAGACACGCAGACAGACAGACACACAGACACGCAGACACGCAGACACACAAACACACAGACACACACACACAGACACGCAGACACACAGACGCACAGACGCACAGACACACAGACACACAGAGACACACACGCAGAGACACCCAGACACAGACACACAACCACATAGACACACTAACACGCAGACACACAGACACGCAGACACGCAGACGTACAGACACGCAGGCATACAGACACACAAACGCACAGACACGCAGACACAGAAACACGCAGACATACAGACGCACAAACACACAAACACACAGACACGCAGACACACAGACGCACAGACACAAAAACACACAGACACACAGACGCACAAAGACACAGACACACAGACACACAAGAGCACAGACACGCAGACACGGACACACAAACACACAGACACACACAGACACAGAGACACGCAAACACGCATACACACAAACACACAAACATGCAGACGACACACACACACACAAACACACGCAAACACAGAAACACGCGACCGCGAAAACACGCAAACACACAAAGACGCAAAGACGCAAACACACAACACGCAAACACACAAACTCACAAACGCACAAACTCACACACACACACACCGACACACACACACACACCAACACACACAAACACAAACACAAACGCAAACACAAACAAAACACAAACACAAACACAAACACAAACACAAACACAAACACAAACACACACACAAACACACACAAACACACACACACACACACACACACACACACACACACACACACACACACACACACACACACACACACACACACACACACACACACACACACACACACACACCCACGCACACACACACACACACACACCAACCCTTGCACGGACGCACGCACGCACGCACACACACACACACACACAAAGACGCAAAAATGCAAAGACACACGCGCAAACACTCACACACACACACACACGCCAACCCTTGCACGGACGCACGCACACTCGTCACCGTACACACCAAAACCCACACCCAAAACCACAACCACAAGCATAACTACGGGAACACACACACACAAACACGCACGCACGCAATCACACAAGCACACAAACACAAACAGAAGAACCCTACTCACGGGCGAGATAAAAGTACACAAGCACAACTAGCACTCAAAACACACACACACACACAAACACACACACACACTCACACACACACACACACATGGCGCGCAAGCACTGACAGATTCACAGAAACTTTGCAATACATAAACTCGCAAGCACGCAAACATACAAGCACACAAACAAACAAACACACAGCACAAGCACACAAGTACAAAGCACACCAGACACACACACACACAACGCAAACATCAACACACATCACGTACACCCACCCACACACACACAAAACACAATTAAAAAACGGGGCAAGCACAAACACGCAAACTTAGCACAGGACAGACTCCGCAACGCAGCGCTGAGTGCATGGGCACGCGACTCCGTGTCCAAGGGTAGGGGAAAAATAACGCAGAACCCGTTGACTGGCCTGTTTGCCCCCACTTCTTCCAGCTGGCTTTGCTTCTGACTGCATGCTCGGAACAGCTCGGCCACGCTGCTAATCGTCCATACCTTCTGAGCAACGTGCCTTCTTGGCCAGGAGCCCTCGTGTGAGTCCCGCGGCGGGGATCGAGCTTGCCACAGGCGTTGCATTTTCCGCACCGATTCTTGGCGAACTTAATTGTTTCCCTCCCACTACGGTCCCGCAGCCATCAGGGCAGCCAACAGGAGCGTTGTTAGGCCACGTTTCATGGGGCCAATGCTGGCGCGAGCGTGGCAGCAGCGCGAGAAAACACACAGCTGTCGTAGCCAGGAGGAGTGAGCCTCGCACCAGCACGCGACGCCAAATGCCAAACGCACAAAGACGCAAACCCTAAAGAGCGAACATGCGACATGCCGCGCATGCAGGCCCGGCGTGAACTTCTTGGGAGGGGGCGTTGCCTAGTTCCACACTTCCTGTGCCGACCAACCAAGCCAGGGCAGCCAGGCAGCGAGCAAACCAGCCGCAGCTGACTACAAATCATGAGGCCCAGCATCTAGATGGGCCCTCAAAAAGCCTCAAACGGTGTGAGTTTTGCTGGCCAAGCCAAACATGCCCAACCGGCATCACCGGCTCTCAATGTGCAAGCTTTCACGCCAGTCATCCACATCTAGTATGTCATTCAAGGATACTCGGAAAACACAGCTGTCAGCACATGGGCACCAATTTATGTGCTGCCGCCTGCTGGTTGGCACCGCCCCATCTGTGCATTTGCCCTGCCCAGGCCCCCATGCAACCTTGCAATCGGAGGTCACCAGCACGATCTGGCGAAAGCCTGTCAGATTTTGCTAGCCCGCAGACTTCAATGCTGAGGAATTCCTAGCCGTTCTGGTTCTCGAGGCATTTTAAGAGATTTAGGTTTGTTGCGTATTCGTGCGTTTGTTTCGAGCTTTTGCCTCTTTTGTGCAGGGGTTTTGCACTATATAATTTGCGGGTGTTTGCCTGCCGAGAAATACTAGGAATTCCTTGACGTTGGAGTCTCCACGAAGCTGCGTTTACCATCACCCCCAACTCGATACTGTTGCTTTGGTGTGTGTGTGTGTGTTGGCAAAGGCAGAGTGGTGCAGGTGTTGTCCTTGAAAGCCTGGTTGCTCTGGTAGCTGCATTGGTGGGTGAAAGTGCCATTCAGAAATTTTAACATCCTCTGCCCTACACTTCTCAGCTCTCGATCCCGGCGTTGGTGTCTCAATGTCTCAACCCCAAGTCCACACAGTCCCTGTCAGTGGGCCAAAACTGTGGAGCATGCTTTTGATTGTGCTGAATGGCGCGGACCCAAGTAAAATCCCAACGGAATCTACCAAACCTTTGCCCTGCCTCAGTGCATCCAGCACTGCCCGAATCTTGGCAGTCCGAAAGCAGCTTCCGCCTGCCAGCAACTTAGCTATCAGAGCTGACGCTGACTGTTTCCCTCTTGAAGCATTCTTTTTCAGCAGCTAGGCACATGGGAGATGTTGACCCGAAGTCTCGTTCGATCAGGGGTTGGCGGAACTGCAGGCTAAACAAGTAATTGTTACATGCTGGGTTTGACTTAGATCTTATCCCCAGCACTGCTTCATTCAACGTAGCCGCTCAGAATTCTCTATGATGTTCTGCACTATTTGTGAACCACAGGGATACTAAAAGAACTGGCCTAGAAGACCTGACAGACTCAGATCTCTAGAAGAATCAGCGGGGTCACGGGAGAGCGCAACATAAGAAAGGTTGCCCCAATCCTCACAACGTGACCCTCAGGGCTGGAAGAACAAACAGCGGAGCACGTTGGAACGACTGAAGGAAACGTCATAGCCACTGGCCGAGGCCCAATGGCTTCCCTTGTTAGATTGAACGAGGAGAATTGGGCTTCCCTCAGCTTCGGAGACTGCGAACAAGGCCCCTAGATTTCTTCCGGGAGAGTGTGAACTTGACAGCAGAGCTCGACTGAAAAGACGCTTGATGATCGGGTGGCTGTGTGTTAACCCCTTGGACACTTGAAAATTGCCGGCTCCCTGATGCAATTCCTTCCCAAAGGGCTCCTAGCTTTGACGCATATTCAGGTACCCCTGTGAGTCTGGCTGAAGCCCCGCCAAATGGCTGAGACGACGGATTACAGACCTGTGAAGCACAACCCCGACCCAAATCAGCGTCAAGGATTTTGCGCATCTACTCTCCTACATGTTGGTAAGCCAAAATAGACGAGACGGAGCTCCAAAACTGAGCCCACTGGAAAGGCATCGGATTTGGAGGACCCTCCTGGACCAGGGCTTCATGCTGGTTTTGGAGGACCATTGGTTTGCAGTATGCTGGCTAAGGTCCCCAATAGGGAAACTGGGTCATTTCCTTTACAAGCACTAAGCCGTCTGACGCCGCCCGCGCGTGTGAACAGAAGGAACCGAACAAACCCTTCCGCAGACTCCATTCCTCTGACCATGTGTTTGTGGGTTCCGTCTCCTCCCAGCCGCCCCATGCCAGACTCGCTCAGGGCCCAGCCGAAAACCTCCTGGAGCAATTCCCGGCTCACGGACATCAAGGATGCTGTCATCACGTCCCTGGCCTGGCCGCCCCATGGGCACCTTGGGTGTCCCCTTGTTGACCCTTGGGTCCAAAGTAGGCTTCTGAAATTACAGGATCTGGACATGTCAAGCCAGTTGCCTTTTGGTATCTGGACTGAACGGCCACTGGAAGAACAGCTGATCAAAAGATTGGCTAGGAGAAGCTGAGCTAGGGGTCGTTTTATTGTGGACGACCAAAGGAAAGGGGGATCACAAAGTTTGACACAAAGCCATTCCTCCCTTTCAATTGCAAGACCCATGCCGCCCGTGCCCAAAATGTCTAACCTTTATGGAGGGATCGACGGCAGTATGGATTACATATTGGCATACTGGATTGTAACAAGCTTCACTTGGAGCACGTAGCTGACAAGATGGCACGGACGGCGAGCTGAAGACTGAACAGAAAAGGGCATCACATTCTTACAGCGAAGGGTGATTCAAGCAACGCCGGGCCTTTGATTCGAGCGGATCCTGTTTCAATGCTCTCACGATGTACATTGCTCATTCTGACAGGCCACCACTTCAGCTCCATGGCAAGCACCACCAATACCAAAACCACGTACACAGCGACGCATTGGCCAGCTATGCACCACGCTAGCGTCGACAAGCAGCAATCCCTTTTCTCCTGTGCCAAGCTCGGATTAGGCTCCTGCAAGCTATCCGTAGCACAGTTGCTTTTCCTGCGCCAAGTTCGGATTAGGCTGCTGTAAGCTATCCGTAGCACAGTTTTCCCAGCCATTGCAAGGGCGTCTTCTGCTCGCGCTCCATCTCACGCTTCCACGCCTTGGACATGCCATTCTAAAAAATACGGGCACATGCAAAGCTGTCCCAAGATACCCTGCCCAAACCATGCCTTCTGAAGGTCTGAAACTTTCCACTTAGGCAAAGGTGATTCGAGCCTCCACTCCTACTGCTTGCATGGCAAAGTCTTGCAAGCACGAAGGAGCAGCAGCTCGTTTGGAAACACAGATTGGCAGCTATTCAAGGTCGGAGTTCTGCTGGAACACACCCCTAAGAAAGTTTAAACTCTGAATACGCCGGGAAGTGAGCATATTCTGAGGACGACTTGAGGGCACATACCCAATTAGCCCAGAGGCGTCTAGGTGCACCCTTGCGGTCTTGGCCTTGTCATCATCGAAGGCCTTCCAGCAACCAAGGCACACAATGCCACGACCAGATCATCCTATTGCCTTCAGGTCCAGATATATATGTCTGGCGAAAGGAAAAGGGCAAGAATGGCAAGAATCCGTTTGAGCTACAGTACTTGCCAGTACTTGCCAGTGCCGTAAGCGTTCTCAGCGAGGGCATTTCAAACGAGAGCTGCAGTTTGGCTACCTCAGCTTTTGCCCCCAACCGAAACTGTGTAATGCTTCTTGTTCTGAGGCAAATAACCAACAACTTGGAACAAGACCCCAACGCGCCATGGGGTCGTCAAGTCTGGCCTTTTTCGTGGCCTTGGCAGTTGCCTCATCCACCAGAACTAGTGGAAGCTGCGTTGACATTGCCAGCACCTGCACCTGCGCCGCCCGCTCCAAATAGTAGAGATCGTCCTGGGTCCCGAAAAACGAACAAGCAGGCAATGAGTTGGCCGTGCAAATGCATATGGAGAAATGATACTATACCTATATAAGCCTATATAAAAAGTCAAGGAATAAAGGAACACACGAATGGCTGGATGAACGAATGAATGACTAAATGAATGAAAAGACGAACAAATGATAAACCACTAAAATAAATAAGTACATCAATACATGAAACTAAACACAAACATAAATCGATAAATAAGAAAATCAGTAGGAATAATAAGCAACACTATGCACAAGAATAAGCAAACAAACTACTAAATAAACAAAGCAATGGATACACACATACACAAATACATGAACAAATGAAGAAGTAAACAACCAAATAAACCACAACTAACTACTACCTAACTAACTAACTAACTAACTAACCAACTAACTAACTAACTAACTAACTAACTGGCTAACTAACTAACTAACTGGCTAGCTCACTAGCTGCTAACTAGCTACAAATTAACTAAACCAGTAAATAAATCAACACAAATAAACATACACCACATTTCCAAATAACTATGTAACTCGAGAAGTAAATGTATGCATAGATAAACAAGTAACACAACTAGTACACAAATACATACGTCAACAAGAAAACAACACATAAATGAACAAAAAAGTACATAACTAAGTAAATATCGGATACACACACATTTAAAAAAAAAAGAACGCCACAACAAGTAAATAAGTCTGGCTAAACAAATAAATCAATAAACAAACACATATACAACTAAACACATGTATGTGTACGTGTGTGTACCATTGTCACCTCCCTTTCGACTCTCTCCTCCCCTCCCCTGCAAACCAAAACCGCTGAGCCCCACCGTGTTGGAATTTACAAGGAGTGCGCGCCCCATACCATCGCAACAGCTCCCAATGAAGGTACATCTCCCAACCGTCAACCCGCCTCCTTTTCTCGACGTTGGATTGACCCTCAAACTCTGCACACCACTGCACATTGATAGTCTTGAATGAGGCTGCTCGGTATACTTACTTTTCAGCACCATCTGTGGTTCCTTGTGACCCCACCCCCCAATTGAAAGGATAAAGAGGTAGCCTGAAAGGTGCAAAGGCACTTTCAGACTTTCAGGAGGGCTGTCTTTATTTCCACTCCCCTCCACCCAACCACAAACAAAGTCCACAGGTGCGCCAAATGAGCTTGAGTCGCAAAGGCCTCTGCCACGGAGCGGCCACAAACAATGACCCCGTGGTTCCTGTGCAGCAGTACCAGCTTCCCGTTCAGCGCAGCTGCTAGACGTTGGCCCTCCTCGCAAAGGCACAGCTTTCAGGTGCTGCGCGACTCCGGCCACAGTTGTCACAGTTCTGCTTTTCAACTACGGGCCTACGGGCGTTCAAAGTGGGAGCTACTCAAGGTTGTCGGAGCGTTGGCTGCATGAATATCCCGCACTTGCAAGCCAGACTGATTTTCACTCCAACTTGCTTGGAATGGCCCTTGGGGTCTGGAATCCCCATGCAGCAATGTGTCTGCAGCTCAATCAAGACTGCCCCACTCTGCGCCCAACGGGTGCCGCCAGCAAGAGCAAGACATGTGCCCGCCCACGCCTAGGAGAGACCTCCCTCTCGACTCTTAACCTTGATAATCCAACAAACAATTGATGGTAGGGGGGTTCTGTCAAAAAGTGTTGTGTGTGAAGGGGCCAGGGTTCAACTTAGGTGGCAAGTGGCAACTATACGGTCTTTACGCAAAACAACATGCCAATCGCATCTGGCAATCTCTAGGTGCCAGGCTACCTCGGCAGGATATGTTATTTTCTTGCAGTGGAACTGACATCATCTGAATGAAACCGGTGGAGAACCAAGCATGCAACAACATTCCGTGATCGAGGCTCGCAAAGTTTGCCGAGAAGGCAGGTGCTTTTGTTCCCTCCGATGCCCCAGAAGGCAAGCACGCCTCTCCTTGGGGTTGTGAACAAGCCCGTTGAATGCAGGGTCATAAGCGACGTCGTCCCAGAATCTCAAGCTGTTCTGGTGGCACATTTGCAGAGGAAGCCCTGACGAGTTCTGCCTGGCAGTCACAGCGCATTGACGGATGCACACATTGGCACAAACCAGGAAGGGGGAGGAGGTGGAGGAGGAGGAGGAGGTGCATGATACAAATGAGGAAAAGAAGACTGCAGATCCGATTCAAACATGATAGCTTTAAGCTGCAAAAAGGCCCCAGCACCTGTGCCACTGCCAGGTTTCAACCAAATACCGAAAATATGTTTGCCCGCAGGGCTTTTGGTGGGCTGAGCAATTATGAGCTATTTAGACCTATTTCGGCTCAGGGGTTCTTGTGCCACCTCCTGGCATGTTGACGAGGTGCACGCAGCAAAGGGCAGTACTGTAGGGCATGTGGGTGTGAAGGACAACTGCGTACCTCTGCGGATCAGCCAGGTGAATGGCTCGATGGATCTCAAACGCAGTGATCTCCACCTCGCCCTTGCCCGCCAAAATCTTACCTCAGCCCAGCAGCTCGGAGCGGTCGGAAAATTGGAGTGGGGTGAAGTGGTGAGTCAGGTGGAAGTGTGGTGGGGTGGAGTGGGTGCAAGGTGCAGGGTTGAGTGCGGTGAAACAAACTTTCGGTTGGCCCAATCTGCAGTTGTAGGGGAGGGGTGTGTTGAGAATGTGGTGGCATTGATTTGCGGCAACCGGCCAAGTCACAATGATTGCCTGACCTCCCGATCACTAAACCAAGCATGCTCCAAGCCAAAGCCAACCCTTACGCTAAGCCTCCCACAAGATGTCAACCCAACAGCCAAACTCCACAATGCCTGAGCGTTGCTGGCCTCACAACTGCCTGTGTGCCAGCCAGCCAACAGCAACCAAACTCCTACCGGCCTGCCTACTTAGCCTATTTGGCTGCCTGCCCACCTTGCTATCTACCTTTTCTGGCCGGCCGAATCGGCCCGAGCTAGCGCTAAGCCGCTAAGCATCGCTTGCCCAGCTCTGCAAAACGCATCCTAACTTCCTAACGCCTTGAGATGAAAAGCGTGGCCCCGGCACGGCCCCGGCTGTCCTTTTCTTCACTCCAGGCCTCCGGAGTCCACCAGCAGCAGCTTCTCCGAGGTAACCTCGGACCAAAGCAGGCCGTAGGGGATGACCAGAAACCTCGGCCGACTCGGTCTCCGGCGCAAAACAAGCGATAGAGACCCCCGGCTTTGCAAAAGCAAAAGCGAACAACAGTTTGAGCGAAAGCAAGATGACCCTAGGCTATTGGCGTGAAAGATAAGATGGCGGTGCTGCAATATGTTGTTGATGAATGTGCCAGGGGCCTCTTTCACCCTCGCTCTTTCAGCTTTCAGGATGGTCTCTGAAAATCTGAAACGCTGCGAGGACAGGGCCGAATCTTGGCTTCTCATGCTTAATTGCTAGTCCTGCGAACTGCGGCAGACTCAAAAACATATCACCTGATGGCGTTGCACATTTGTTGCACTGTCCAATGCCCAGCCACCTGCGCCATACGCGTAGTCGTTGTTTCTACTTGCCATGTTCAAATGCTTTCCGATTTCTGCCGTGGTACTGATCATGTCTGCCTGGAATAAGGGCGGTCAGGTGGTTGCACACGCCTGCCGCAACGAGCACTGAGCTCGAAGAATCTCAGGGCCAACACAACTTTCCTTCGTCTATGACCAGCAAGCAGGGCAACTCCTGCCAAATGTTTCCTCAAATGAAGGCCCTGCAGAGTGCAACTCTTTGAAAATTTGGCTAGTGGTACAACTCATCCGCTCATGTGTTCATCCTTGACGGCCAGCCAGTCAGCCGTCAACCAACGATTTCCCGGCAAAGCTGCGACCGCTTAGGCAAGCCAAAGGGCTCCTACACAATGCATCGACGCGAATAGCAAGGCTGCCTGACTGTTCCCACAACAAATTAGAGTTGGGACGAAAACGCTGTGGGCTCGGCAAGGCTCAAGATAACGGCTAGAAGTTAAGAAGACGGCCTTCGGCTCGACAAAGAAGCGATCAACCTCACTACAAACAAAACTGGAGACATCAATCTGGGCAAGCCATTACACTTCACAAACCAAAAGCAAGACATCTCCAAGTAAAGGGCCTTCATTGTGGTTTGAGCTCGTTTCGCGCCACTGGCTTGACCATCATCTTCATTGTGATGGTCAGGGGAGACAATTTTGTGCAGATCAATGAGAAGCATGGCCTTCATTAAAGCCCAGCTTGTGGCAAAGCCGGTACGTCAACGCGAGGTCTTCCCGCACCGCAGCTTCCGACAGAACCATGGCGAGTCGAATCACAGGCCGACGGGCAACCACCCAGACAGCCCGAACTTGAGCCATAAAAGCCACAAGACTTCAAAGGTACAGCGGGTTTTTGAATGAAGAGGGAACAAGGAGAACACCTGTCATTAGCATCTGAGATGATTGCAGCAAACTGAACGGGAAGCTATGCTAAGCCTCTGTGGTAATTATCTGGTCGCATTTGGGTGTACACAAAATCAAACATTTTGGGGGCCGAACTCCCATCTTTGGAAACGCCCGTTTGGGAGAGCCAGCCCTGAATGGGGTGTCAGTGAAGCAAAGGGGCAAACACATCAGGCAGAACAAACTGAAGGCGCAATCCTCAGGCCAGACACGCGCGAAGTGTGCCTGCTCCAGAACCTTCAACAAGTTGATCTCCGCCGACCTCACGCCATGCGCGTTCCACTGAGAAAAAAACAAATGCGCGATGCTTCACTTGCAGCCAAAAAAAGGTTCCGAGACAAGATGCCACCATTCCCACCTGATTTAGAGGATCCCCTTGCAATCGTGGTTTTTGGATGTATCCTGTTTGGAACCCTGCCCATTGGGAAGTGGCAAAGCAGCTGGCCTCTGCTGAGCCCAAGGTTTGGGGAAGGAACGCACGTTGGCAGTAGTTTGCAGCTTTGCAGCCTGAGCAAACCAACCAACACCTTTTGGCATGAAACCCAAACAGCTTTCAGCTGTTGCACACACACACACACCATGAAGCGTCGGTGAGAGCACAGGCTGACAGGGACCGGGGCCCGCGCTCGAGCTTCACCCGACTCGTGCAGGTCTCAACTCGCCTGTCGCCGGAGGGAAGTTCAACAAGTTCTCAATATCTCGAGGGAATAGTCTATTTTTTGCAGAATCAAGAGCACTGAGCTGTCCACTAGGACATTTTGGCGGTATGTTTCGTGCTTGGTTCTCAAGTTTCGGAAGGGGACCCCCCGATTTCAGGCCAAACTGGGCCAGGAATGCCCACGTGTCTATTGGGAGGGAGTTTTGGCTAGGCGGCTACGCACCGTTTTCGGAATCCAACAACATTGCTCGGCGCAGCCCTTACGCGCTCATGAACTACATGGCTGAGGGGGGGAAGCAATGGCCGCTATCTGGATAACAAATGGGGCAGGCACGGCTCAGTCGTCCGACTTTTGCTGCATGTGGTGGCATGCAGGTGGCCCAAGCGATGTGGAATAGAGTTTGTGATGCTGAAGGGCCGGTTGCCACCGTACATGTGTACATATACATACACACGTGTGTATGCATATATATAAATACGTGTGTCCTGGATCTACTCAAAACTCATCCGCGCGGTTCCTAATGGAGTCCAGGGTGCAGCCCTGCAAATCAAGACCCAATCGGCTCGGCTACAAGTGAAAAAGCTCAGGGCCGGGCCTGTAAGCCACCTCCATCTGTGCGAGCATGCGGTCAACGCCTGGCATCGGATCACGTCGAGGCAGCGCAAACAACAAGACATCATTCAATGTTTAACTGCACCACAATGGCTTGGCGCGGCCAACAACTTGAGGGCAAGTTATATGGGAAGCCTGGAACTTGGTTGCAGTTGGGCTAGCCTGGGTTACCCAAAGCAAGTAGGTAAGAGGCTGCAAAGAAAAGGAATAAGTGTACAACAAGCAACGCTGCCTGGACGCTTAACTCTTGAGGTAAATCCCCTGCCGCCAGGCTGTCTTGCATATGTCGGTGGTCCGTGGTGCCAAGTGAACATATCTGCAAATGGCATGAGCCAGTTGCAAGTGTTTCGGCTTGAAGAACACACCACCCCGAATCCTGCACAAGCCAGCGGCAAGTTTTTCTTCTATCAGCGGCTTCAGCCCAGATAAGGCAAGGTTCCGGAGGTTCCGGGGTGGCCTGGCGCAGGCCACGTGCAAGGTTCAAGGAAGGTTCCGGAGGTTTTGCAGGCCGGTGTAAGGTTCACGCAAGGGTCCGGAGGTTCCGGTCTGGCACAGGCAGGTGTAAGGTTCAAGGAAGGTCACGGAAGTGCTCTGGCACAGGCCAGGCAATGGTTCAAGGAAGGAACCTTACACCAGGCCAGCCTGCGGAACTTGCTGTAACCTTACACCTGCAGCGTTTGGCCGCCCGTTCTGTAACAGGCCGGTGTAAGGTTCAAGGAAGGTTCTGGAGGTTTCGGGGTGGTCTGGTGCAGGCAAGGTGTGAGGTTCAAGGAGGGTTCTGGAGGTTCCGGATGTTCCAGAGGTTGAGGATGGACCAAGGCCAGGTTTGGTTTGGGGTCCTCGTGTGAGGCCCGAGCAGGGTTCTGGAGTAACAGGCTTTGGAGGTTTGGAGGTGTCGGGGTAGTCCGGGAGGCTCCGAGGTAAGGTTCAGCAGAGGGTTCCGCAGCATTTGGGCAGGGTTCCTGCAAAGTTCTGCGAGGGGTCAGGGCTCTGCGATAAGGTTCAGCAGGGGTTCTGAGGTAAGGCTTCGCAGGGTTCCACGAGGGTCGAAAAAGAGGGCCGTGTGCTGTTGGGGATATCACCTGAGCTCATTTAAATAAATAGGGGCGGAATGGCCTGGAAATAAATTCAGCTTTCAAGACCAAATGGTTGGCAGCCAGCCACGGTTCGAAGTCGCTCCCCGCCTCCCTTTCCTTCGGAACTTTTCGGAACCGCTCGGGCCTTCAGGCGTGGGATCCATGAAGTGCTCTCAATCCAGCCCGCGGAACGGGCGGAAAACGGCCCTGTGGTTTGTTTAAGTCGTGCTTTGGATTGGCGAGAGTTGAGCCTCCGGTCACTGGTTGCTGACTCCATGAGCGGCAAGCCACCAGTCCGAATTATTCCTCCTGTTACAAACAAATGACTGTTGAATTTGGCATCCGCATGCCAAATTCAGCAATGCTGAGAGTCTCGCTGGCTATGATGCCGTTGTGGGCAGATGCTTGGTGTGCTGCGTGCTGAGTCTGTCGTTGTTCCTTCGCAATGCAGCATGTTAAGGGAGCCATTCATGATGTGATCAAGTTGCAGGCCGAACACCCTGCAGCGCCAGCCACTGCAAATTTGGATGTGCAGTCACTTGACGCAAAAAGGTGCTTGAGCCTTTTGGTGCTGCCAAGGGGTCTCACAGCACAGCCAATCAGCACAGCGCGGACGATAAAGGGTTGGCCAACCAGGAAGATTTGTTCGGGCGCAGGACTGCTTTGTTCAGCGAGTTGCCAGAACAACATTGCCGGTTTCCGGGGCTTGCATGCCACAGTGGAACTGTTCGTAACGGCTGCTGCCAAGACGCATTTGAGGGTGCAACTAGCGCATACGTTGCATACACCACCTCTCAGACAGCAGCGGCCAAGAATGAAAAGAAAGAAAGCAGGCAAGACCGCACAAAAGCAAGAAAGTAAACCGCAACGAATTCGGGAATGTGTGAACAACGCCAGGCAACATCTGCCAGAAAGGTAACACATCAACCGCTAAGCCGCTAAGCATCAACTCGATGCTTAGCAACGGAAGCCCTTTTCAATATCAGCTGACCGTGTCCTGGCGAATGCCTGTTTGTCCAGCAACTAATTCGGAATGCGTCCGCTAAAGGGCTCCCGATGCGAGCAACCTGGTACATCTGCTGTCCAGCTGCGCTGGCAGTGGAACGAATGCTTTTCTGAAGGGCTTCTACATGTGTCCCTTCAAAGGCAACCGGCCACAGGAACATCTGCAAGCGCTGAAGAAGGTGTCTGTAATTTTCTTCTCTGGCTTCTTGATTCAAACCTGTCTGGATTCAACGCATGCCAGCACCCATCCGCCCATTCGGCAATGGTTTTGCTCTCCGCTGCCAGCTCCACTTCCTGGCAAGAGATGGGTGAAGAGCAAGGGCCGCAACCAACGATTCCTGGTTAACTTGGGGGGGGCAACGTATCTATGCGGTAACATGTGATAGCTTCCATTGAGGCAGGGGGTGTTTGGTCACTCTTCCGCCAACCAGCTTCAGCGCACTGCTCCAATCCAAATCCAAGCGAACACATTTGCTCGCTCACCCAGTGCCAACGGCATGCAGAAAGGGATCCGGAGAACATTATATTACCCTGGCAACAACCAGAAACCCTCAAGTGGGAACTGGGTTCGGAGCCTTTCTCTGGAAGTTGCGCTTGACTAAGTGTTGCAATTATTGGTGTGCAGAAGAAAATATGTATGCTCCGAAACTCTTGCAATACAAATCAACGGCAATGAAGCTTACTTCTTGTAATTGCAAATTCCTTGCACGTCGGATGCTGCTCTTCGCCTTCCAAAAACCTTCCACAAAACCTTATGCGCGTTTCTGCGTGCGTGGCGCTGCGTGACAACACTGTCGCTCACGGTCCTTTGGCCTGGGACCTTTCGGTCGAATCGAACCTTTGCAGCGGAGGACGACCTACACAAAAACGTCCAACATGCAAGTTTTGAATGAGGGGGGGTATCTGGTCGAACAAAGCTACATAGGACAACGAAGCTGAACGAATGAAAAAAGCCGCCATTTCCACATCGAACTCGGCATCACACTGTAACACATCACGTCGGCGTTTCGATGATGTCCTTCTCTCGCGTAGTGCATTATCTTCTGCCGGTCCGGGTAGAGGTCTTTGGCGCGATCTGCTTTGCTCCTGGGCGTGAAGCAGCTTAATGCTTGGCATCCTTGCAAAACCCGCCAAGTGGATCAAACGGATCCAAAAGGGAGGACCTGTATTTTAGAAACGCTCAAAATGTCACCGCATGGAAAATGGTAAGGGCATGCCGCTTTGCACACATTCAAGATGTGATTCTGCGAACCCTTGCCTGGCACAGGCTCAAAAGCTTGCCAGAACCCTATAGCAACACGGGCCATTCTGGCAGTTCACACAAAGAGTCTGAATGCATAAACATGACATCCCCATAAAAACTGGCAAAGCACAAGCGGTTGGAGCTCCGGCCATGCATAAGCCATGGTACATTAAGTAACCACTGACCGAACTCACATCATGCCAGTTCGGGCAGCGAGCACCAGCCTGAGTTTTGTTCGGTCCAACTCAAGGAGGCCAAGCAACCATTATCTCCCAGGACCTCCGAAGCATTCATCGCTCCCACATCCCAAGAAAGGTCCAAGTAGAACCCAGCTGGCCAGAAAGGCTTTTCGGCTCCTGGGCTCAATGCTTTCCGAGTACGAGAGCTGCAGCAAAGCGTGGGCCCCGCAAATTTCTGCGTAAATCTATCACGCCAGAAACCATTTGTACGTCCGGCGCTCAGGAAACAAGCTGGCCCTGCACTGGGGCTCATGAGCGACCAGCCTGCTTGATTGGAACTAACAATGTGGACAGTCAGGAAGGCCAAATGGCAAACAGGCAAAAGCTTTGTCCGGCAATGTGAGACTAACGCTTCACTAACCAAAAGTAAAGATATTCACTGGCAGCTGACCATGGATGCAAATGCTCAGAGCTCCGACTTCATGTGCCGAACCACACGCAGAAAGTCAGCGTTGTGTGGATGGAACTGGCGCACCAAGTCCTGCAGGGTGGCACAAAGTACTTAGGGCCACGAAAGCAAAATACGTCCCCAGTCGCGAAAGCAGCCAATCCCAGTCAGCCTGGTGCACTTGTACTCTGAGGGAGTCCGAGCCTCCAATCACCGCAGGCCTGCTGAGCAAGTTGCAAACCACGCCTGGTGGCTGTGTAAATGGCTGTGTTCTTGCTTAGTTGGGCGTGAGCACGACCGCATGTTTGCTCTTTGCTTGTCTTGGGTCATGTGTGTGTGTGTGTGTGTGTGTGTGTGTGTGTGTGTGTGTGTGTGTGTGTGTGTGTGTGCGTGTGCGTGTGCGTGTGCGTGTGCGTGTGCGTGTGCGTGTGCGTGTGCGTGTGCGTGTGCGTGTGCGTGTGCGTGTGCGTGTGCGTGTGCGTGTGCGTGTGCAAGCGTGCGTGCGTGCGTGCGTGCGTGCGTGCGTGCGTGCGTGCGTGCGTGCGTGCGTGCGTGCGTGCGTGCGTGCGTGCGTGCGTGCGTGCGTGCGTGCGTGCGTGCGTGCGTGCGTGCGTGCGTGCGTGCGTGCGTGCGTGCGTGCGTGGGTGGGTGGGTGGGTGGGTGGGTGGGTGTGTGTGTGTGTGTGATTGCATGATTGCGTAAAATAAGCCAGTGCCATGGCATTTGGGTGTTTCATTTGCATTTGGGTGTTTCATTTTCTTGGTGTTTGTGGCTTCTGTTGGGCTTTGTGTGTGTTTTAGGCTCTCCTCACACATATAAATGTGTGGATTATCATGGATTATCATATATACATAAATATCTTTTGCTGGGACCTCAATGAGAAGCAAAGTTTCTAGATGCTATTTGCCAGCGCCTAGGTCAAATTAGTGAAGTCTTTAGCTTGTTGCAAGTGCTTAGTTTGGATTCAAAACGCACACTAGCTGCCTCAGCTTGAAACTCAACACGTTGCAGCCAGCCAAGCATTGCAGCCTGTTTGCGCAATTCCTCAAGTTTGGGGCCATACCACAAAACCCACTCTGAAGTCACTGGGGGAACCAAAGAATTTGTTAAGTGGGGTGCGCCCTGGCTCATCTTCAACCTCTCCACCGTCTTCTTCGCCGTCATCCTGCCTGGCAAGTCTGGGCACTCAGAATGCAGATTGGAATGCGAAGGGGGCTGGGTTCCACTTGCCTTGAGTTAGTCAATGTTTCTTAAGAGGAGGAGCCACATTGAGCTGTGTGTGAGCTGGACCTACCCCTGAAATCCAGAGATGCTGGTCAACTCTCCCTTTTTCATAGCGATTTGATTTTACAATGGCAAGGGGTGAACAAGAGGCTTTTTATTGACTGGTCAGCTAGTGAGTTATAGGAGTTCCCCACGTGGGCCTTCACTGAACAATTGTCACACAAGTTCCTCAGGCCCTGTGGGCCGTGTATCATTGAAGTTCCCAAGAAGGTCCAAAGCACCTTTGCAAACACAATCGCCTTCTAGAGCTGGGTGCGGGCATGCTGTGTCGTGTCAGCAGTGTCATGTCATTCCAAATCCCCTGACGATGTTGGCATCAACAACGTTTCGCGAGAGTACAAAGGCACACAAAGGCTGCCTGAGTTGTCAAGCGATGCAACTGTCAAGCGATGCAACTGTCCTGTCAAGCGACGCAACTGTCCTGTCAAGCGACGCAACTGTCCTGTCAAGCGACGCAACTGTCCTGTCAAGCGATGCAACTGTCAAGCGATGCAACTGTCAAGCGACGCAACTGTCAAGCGATGCAACTGTCAAGCGATGCAACTGTCAAGCGATGCAACTGTTTTTAGTATTAAAGGTTGTTCTGTGGGTGATTGGTTGGAGCAAACATTCGTGCGTGACAGACTGATTTAGCAAGCACTTTCGCTTTCCATCCATCCACGTCAACACGAGCGCCAAAAAATCCGAGGCCAGGAGAAGCCAGGAGAAGCAGAGGCATGCCTGGGCGGCTGGGCGGTGGCGGCGTTGGTTGGGGCGGATTGGGCTGGTCGGGCCCGGGGCCCGGCCAGGAAGTATGAAAACCATAGGCCGAAACGGCCATGAAGTAAGCAAATAGCTCTAAAGCATACTTGTTAGGTCAACATTTTGTTGAAACATTACTTGCTGACATGGGAGGTTTTAAGGGTGTGCCTGGCTAGTTGGTCATGTTGCCTGCTTGGTCCCAACATTGTGGATGTCCCCTTGACTTGTCGTCCCAACAGCGCTTTCCATCATGCTGCTATAACTCAGCAAGACTCAAACCCTACCCTGGGGTCACGCGCAGGGCTGAAATAATTCTGGAGTATTGAAGGTATTTCCCACACTGAAGTTAGTGATGTCGGCCTGAAACAAACCAATCG